ACACTTTCTGAGAATGCAGCAGATATGTTAACACAACCTGTTACTACAGACAAGTTCAAGCACTGCTTGGACTTGATTAATGTCTCTAGTTGTTAGATGGGAGATGCCTCAACTCAGCGTCCCCGGTGGAGTTCTCGAATACATGTCCTCTTTTTTCTTCTAAGGGGTGAATATTTGCCAAGGTGAAGATTGTTAGAGTATGTGTGGCTCATAGTTGCTGTGTGCATAATGGCAAGGAGGCAGATGCGGGAGCGTAGCGGAGTGGAGCCCGCGATGGCATCTGCCTTGCGGGATTTATATATAGGGGACGCTGATTAGTTGGGGGTGCGGGGGCAACGCCCCCGCGGTACGGTACAGGGGTATTTTTGTAAATACGTCCATATTAGGGTTATATAAATACTTAAGATGTAACCCTATTCAATAATGGAAAAGAACGGCCGCTCGCTCTCGTGGATGTAGGCACATTGCCGAACCACGTAAATCTCTGTGTGTTATTTTCTCCTGCTTTCTTAATTGTTTGATTCCTTACTATTCACCATAATTGCTGCACGATCACAACAGTAATTTTCTAAATTTTAAATCAAATTTAATTTCTAAATATATACTTTAATGGTTTCTTTTTTTTTTTTTTTCAGTTGGTTGGATTTTTGTCCTTATTTTTTGAATTTACATTTTTGAAAAAATTAATTCTCAGATTGGTAACTCCTAATACGATAGAAAATTGTCAAGTATAAAGTTAGTACCTTTAATTTTATACATTTAGTTAATAACCCAAAATTGATTTATTAAATTCATCTAATAAATATGCCAGCATAATCGCAATTATACATGCTTGATACAAAGTGGATACGATTATATAATTTTGAGTGGATTATATGTAGATTAAATAAACTTTAACACCCCGTATAATTGTTACCTTTTGGATAGATTTTACAAACAAGCGAGGGTAAAATTAAAAAAAAAATAATTATTTTAGGGGATAAAATTAGGATTGTCAATTGTGTCGTGACGTGTCATTTTAAATATATTATTTTTAAGTTATGTTATTATTGGTATGTGTTAATATTTTTGTTAATAAAAAATTATTTAATTCTACAATATCTAATATAATACTATATAAAAACAATTAAAAATTTATAAAATACCTATTCTTGTTAATTATATTGTCCATGCCTAACTTTATTTTGACTTATTAATCATTTATATCAATTGATCATTTCATTTTTTGGTTTATGCCGGATTGGGTTTATGTCGATGGGTAAAATTGACATCCTTAAACAAAATAAAATAATTTTTTGTTAAATTTATAACAAACGATAATGATTGATACAATATGAAACTAATATCATAATTGAGAGCAATATTATTTGAACCGGACCGAACATCAAATCGGTGGAGCGATTGAATCAATAATTTACAAGTTCAATCGTTGAGTTAACTGGTCGAATTTGTCGTATAATTAAAAATATATAAAATATTATAAAATATAAAAATTTAATTAAAAATTTACAATCACAAAAAAAAATCAAATAGTGTACTATATATGTATTAACTTATATTCAATGATTCAATATAACCGTGTGTGTGTGCACGTGTAGAGAGACAGAGGGGGAAATAGCAAAAACAAACCCAGCCTGCCACCGTTTCTTTTTTTCTTTCATTTTCGTGGGTGTGTATCACTGTGTCTGTGTGGAGAAAGAGAGAGAAAGGGGAAGAAGATGAAGTGGAAGGAGATCTAGATCTTTGGAAGTGGAAGGAGACGAAGTGGTGTGTTACCGTGCCTATGGTGTTTAAGTCTTTGAAATCTAGATCTGTGGTGTTCGAGTCTTCAAGATCTAGATCTATGGTCTTCGAGATCTAATTCGTCGCTGTTCAACAGAGAAGACAAAGTGGAAGGAAACGGAGAAGATGAAGGGCTACCAACTGGTTTTAAGCTTTGAACCGGTCGGTTTTAAGAATCTTCACTTCACCAGTTTTAGGCAAAAATGGGTCAATTTTTCGGTTTTCAACGATTCGATTCTTTGGACAGTCTAATTAAATTGAAAAATTTGGAGGTCAGTCCCTTATATAGACTTGTTTAAATTTAAATCCGTCAAATAAATTTATTTATTATAAAATTTATTTTTTGTTAATTTTATCATACTATTCATTCTCTTTAAAACTGAAATAAAACTAAAATTTAAAAACTCATAAATCTTAAAAGTTTGACTAACATTAAAATTTTTTTTCTCTTATATTTATCTACTAGTGATACCCCGTGACTGAAATCACTAAATATTAAACTATAACACTATGTGTGTATTAAAATGTGTGTGTACAACTAGAGTGTATATATAATGTGTGTATGTATGTGTAGTGAGTGTGTATTGAAGTATGTGTAATTATGTGCTATGAAATATTTGTGTTAGGTTTGTGAAATTTGGGAGGGAAAGTGTGTGAAATTTGGGGGAAAAAATATACCCCCATAAATTCAAACACCTAGCTATCTTGTTATATAGATATTCATATACATTAATGCTGGAGTGATCAAATTTTGGGACCAAATATCTATTTCAAATGACATGACAGTTGACTTGAACTTATTTATTTAGTGTCATGTCATTTGAGCCCCAATAAAGAGTCCAAATAATATATTGTCATTTCATTTGAGATGGATATTTGGTCAATATATTTGGTCCGTATAACATTACTCATCCATATATAGGTTAAGAGTTTAACTAATATTAAAAAATTTTCTCTTGTATATATATAGTAACATTAAAAATAAAAAATAGTAACTTTCAAATATAAAAAAAAATTATCATTTAGACACAAAAAATAATATATTTAAACACAAAAAAATAGTAACATTTAAACATAAAAAAAATTGAAACATTCAATATTAATATTTTTAAAAAATAACAGCAGTAACATGTTCAACAAAAATATTAGCATGTTTAACAAAAATAGTAACATGCTTAACACAAACTGTAGCATACTTAACAATAATTATTTTTCTCAAATTCAAACACAAAAAATAGTACCATTCAAATATAAAAATTGGTAATATTCAAAAAAAAAAATAGTAACATGGAATATTAATATTTAGGAAAATAATAGTAGTAACATGATCAACAAAAACAGTAACATGCTCAAAAATAATAGTACATGAACAGTAACATACTCAACAAAACAGTAACATGAACAATAACATAACAAAAAAAAAATAGTAACATGAATTTGAATAGGTAACTTTTTTTTGTATTTGAATGTTACTATTTTTTTTAATGTTACTATATATATATATATATATATATATATATATATATATATATATATATATATATATATATATATATATATGAGAGAGAAATTTTTTTAATATTAGTCAAACTCTTAACCTATATATAAATATATATAGATATGAGAGAGAAACTATTAGCTTCTTTTCAAAGAATGGTATTTTTGAGATAAAAAAAAAGTGAACTTAAATCATTACATATAATTTTAAATATGGACTTAACGCTTCAGTTCTGATAACACTAGCTGAGAGTATGAGACATCAAAATATGACACGACACACATGAAATTAAAGAGTTTGAATATTTCTTAAGTCACTCCTTTTCGTAAACGAATGTATCTAATTTGACATAATTAATAAACGAATTTAATATAAATGAAACCAATAAAAAATTAAAACACAATTAATTTACATACCGTTGTACATGATTCATATATGATACGAAACTAATATAAAATGATTTGTTAGATACGAATTAACAAATAAATTGGGTATGAATAAAATATTTTTTGACACATATTTATTAAAACTCGATACGAATTTGCCTTATTTGACACATGAGAGTATCTATGTCTATCTATACTCTAATAAAAGTGGCTTAAGTCAAAAATTTTTGATTTTTTTATTTATCCTTCAATAATTCTATAATGTATATTTTATTAATTTTAAAGTGGCTTAAGAGAAATTTTTTGATTTGTCTTTCAAAAATTATATAATGTCTACTTTATCACTTTTTGAGATTTTTTTTATGTTTTTATTAGTTGCATTAATTTAACTAATAAATTCATTGTTTGACTTTTGATTATTTTTTTTCGGACAATATAAATTTGATTTGAAAAATATGATCCGAATTCAATTCAATTCAATTGTCCAACGATTTTTTTTTCACAACAAATACATGAATCCGTTAAAAAATAGATATCTGTTCTGATTTGAATAAGTTGATTAGAGACAATTTTAACATCTAGCACATTAATTTCTCCTAAATTTTATTAAATAATCATCAAATTATATTATATGTTTGTAGGTATGAATTACATATCTTTATTCGTTAAAAAATAAATATTTGAACAGATGTAATAATCTATGAAGTACTTTCAAATGTCGATGCTTGTTCACAAAATATAATTGGTAATTCTATCCTTAAAAAAATAAAAAAGACAATAATGACTTATTGTAATAACGTCTTATTAGTCCAAAAAATATTATTCCCTTATATAATTCAGTTCATACAACCTAAAATATAAGAAAAATCTTGAGCACAACAGTTACCCACGTCAGCAGTGTCACTTTGTATAATTGTCTACTAACAAGGGAATAAGTGAAAAAATAAACCTCATAAAATTCAATAACCATCATATAATATATAATCATTTTCATAAAAAAAATTAATTTAACTTATCTATTTATTTAAAAAAATTAATATAATTAGCGTACAACTCACACGTACTGACGTACATCAATTAGTAATATAAAAAATATGATAATTTTTTTTTTTGATCAAAGAAAAATATGATAATTGAAAGGAGAATATAAAAAAGTTATACTAGTTGAGAGATTAAAGTGTAATTTTTGTCAACTCTAACACCACCTCTCCTATTAATAACTCTCCTATTAATAGAATGCGCGTATTGAGAAATATATCTCCACCGCGTAACCCGGTCCCACCAAACAGTTTTCCTGTTTTCACACCAGCATGATCAAAGTGATGGAGGAAAAAAAAAAAAAAAGACAAAAACTCATCCTCTCCCACTCCTACCCAGCAGATTCCCCCGTCCCTCTCCAAAAACCCCACTCCCCCACACTCTTACTCTCTAACAATTATCACTCTCTCTCTCTCTCCAAAAACCTCACTTCCACACTCTCCCTCTTCTTCCCAACCACCATGGCAGTGAGTAACAACCTCACAGCAATCCTAAACTTCATAGCCTTTATGTGCTCCATCCCCATAATCGCAGCCGGAATCTGGCTAGCTTCCAAGCCCGACAACGAGTGCGTCCGCTGGCTCCGGTGGCCGGTCGTCTTCGCCGGCGTTCTCATCCTCCTCGTTTCCTTACTGGGCTTCGTCGGCGCGTACTGGAACAAGCAATCACTCCTCGCTCTTTACCTATGTTTCATGGCCATCCTCATAGTCCTCATGCTCGTCTTCCTTGTCCTCGCCTTCGTCGTCACGCGCCCCAACGGCGCGTATGTGGTTCCCGGGAGAGGGTACAAGGAGTACAGGCTTGAAGGGTTTTCGTCGTGGTTGAGAGATCATATTACGAGTTCGGATAATTGGGGGAACTTGAGGGCTTGTTTGGCTGCGTCTCAAGTTTGTCCCAAGCTTAGTCAGGATTATATTTCTGCTGAGCAGTTCTTTGCTGCTCATATCTCTCCTCTTCAGGTAAGTTCTCTACTTTCTCTGCGCAGTAATTTTTCATGAAGTAATTGCATTTTTCCTGTGTTTTTTATGTGAAAAAAAGAACAGAAAAATGTCATTGGGGTTGAACTAGTCCTTCTCTCTGTCAATGGTTTTAAAATAACTTGGGCTTTGTACTTAAAAAAAAAAATTATCTTTAGACCAAAACTATAGATTGAAAGAAATGAGAGAAAAAACTGATTAGCATACTATAAATGGGTTTTTTGTTTTTTCCTTTTGTTTTTGGGTGGGGATGATGAGAAAAGAGTGGTGTATTTGCAGGAAGTTCTTAGAGAAACCTAAACTGGCTTTTAATTTTGGAAGAGAAGAAGAGGGGAGGGGGGGGGGGAGAGGGATATGATGAAATCACTTAGAACTTAGTGTTTTATATGTGAAAATACATGTTGTAGGGATTACAAATCTTTTATAAAACCTTTGTAATTGAATTTCTTGTTAATTTTTGACTGATGTAAAATTTTGTACATAAAGAGCTAAAGAAGTGTATGTAATGAATAAGTAACAGTAATCTAATCCAATAAATGTGTGGCTAGATTAGTTACTTTTTTCATATATACTCCAACAAATTTTTTATATTTTTAACTAATCTTTTTTAAAAAATAATATTTCTCATTCCTTTTCTATTATTTTTTTTTGAGAATAATAAAAGGGTAGAAGGAGAGAAAATGGAAGAAAGGAGAGGAGGAGAGAGAAAATATTATAAAATTTTTTTACATATCGCTACAGCAAAATGTTATTTTAGATGTTTTGAAAATAATCTGTTGGAATAAAATTTTTAAGCTAAATAGTTAAAATTTGAAGATTTTGTGTGTTTTAAATTATCCGTCAGAGATGCTTACTTTTGAACAATACAAAAGAGAATATGTAGGATCCACCATTAAAGTTTGTTCTTTGTAATAATCTATTAGTTCATAATTTTGTTCATCTAATTCTTCAACTACTTTTTACTGGTCAAAATTTACATCACTATATAATGTTTGACTAATATCATACTAGTGGGCCTACACACCATATGGTCCATCAGATGAAACCTTCAAGATCTAAATACATCAATCTGTCTGTCTTTGTTTAAATGGTCTCGCCTAATGGTGGGCCAGTCAGTAGGGGTACAACCAAGCTTATGGTGCCATAGCAACTATTTTTTCACTTCTAACTTGTAATCTCAGCAAAGTTTACACCTAATCCAATCAATCTAGAACAATTGAGATCGATCATACATTGACCTTATTGCTGAAATATATGAAAGCATTTTATGATTGTCAGCTTTAACATAATAGTATATGATGGCATCGGATACCCTAAAGTTGGACCCGTTAAAAAGAATTTCTCTAAAGTGGGCCGAATTTTAGAATGTGAACTTGGGCGATATGCCAAATCATAACTAGTCAGTTCTCATTATTTATGGTTATATTCTACCCTAGTTCAAATTATTTGGATTCAGGTGTGGTGACATTAGGGGTGGCCTAACTTTGATTGATTGCGTTTTTTGTTTAGAGGACGTTCATAGGCGCTGGTTTGATTGAGGGAAAATATGGGTTATAATCTCGCCTTTTTGGTTTACAGGTTATGCATGTCTACTCGAATATGTCACAATTTACAAACTAATCAACCAAGTGTTAGGATATCTGATATGATTAATTAAATAAACTGAATTAAAAATGATTAGTACTTCACACAAACCCGAAATGATAAGATTGTTTCATACAATATGACTCACTCGACAACCCTATGTGGCATTAGTTATTTGGTAGGTGTTTTCTTTTGCTTTTTTGTTATCTTCTTGCTAATATCCTTCTTGTCGTGAACAGTCAGGATGTTGTAAGCCTCCAAATATATGTGGATACCAGTATGTAAACCCTGTAATGTGGATTAACCCGGCGACCACGATTGCGGATCCGGACTGTTCCATTGGAACAATGATCCAAACCAATTGTGCTACAACTGTGATTCCTGCAAGGCTGGTCTGCTGGGGAACCTGAGAAGGGAATGGAGGAAAGCTAACGTGATTCTGATTGTAGCGGTGGTGGTGCTGATATGGGTTTATGTTATAGCATGCAGTGCACTCAAAAATGCTCAGACTGAAGAACTCTTTGACCGATACAAGAGAGGTTGGGTTTGATTTGTAGATTTTTAAAGGCATCCCCAGGCTACAGACTCATGGTTTTGATTTGTTTTACTTTTCCTCCTTTAGTGCGAGTGTTTTTGAATCCAGTGTATAAATTCCTCTGTACTGTTGTATGCACACTAAAAAGGAACTGAAAGGAATAGAAGTTGGAGGATTGGGTTTGAGTTACCTGTTCCATATTCTTCCACTTATTATAGTGGCAAAAAGAGAAAAGAATTGTTTTAGGTTCTTGTACCTTTTATTTCTGTGGTCATTGTCGCTTCTTGTCGACCCCACAATTCTTAAACACGATCTATAGAAACAATATGATATTATTAGCGGGTTTAGGCTAAATCTTGGAAATTTTGGAAGGTAAAGGGGTGGATTTAGAATCACTTGATATATTGGTTCACACAAACCTGGTTAAAATAACACAAACTCCACTAACACGTATACACAAGTATAAATAATCCAATGTAAATTGAATATATTTTTATACGATATTACTAAATGTAGCATACAATCTCAACATTCCACCGTTCATTGTCCTTTTTAAGTTTAATGGGTAGAAGTGTTCGGACTAATTTATGTACATCTTAATTAATATATTTTTCAATTTGATCAGAGATAGACTATTTACACAAAATTAAGGTATTCTTAAGAGATAAATTTTTCATAGTCTAATTTCAAGAATTGTCAAGATTCAAACTCAAAAGAAAGTACTTTAGTTGTTCCTACTTGAACCGTCCTTTGTTCCACTGTCCATTGTCAACTAAAATATGAAAACACTAGTCCTAACCCGTGTGCCTAAAAGTACGATAAAATATAAAATTCGAGCGTCCAAAAAATCGATCCCATTATATTAATTTTGTTAAAAATATATTAACTACAAATTAATCAAATATTAAATAATTAAATATATATAAAAATGAGTGATGTGATATTTTTAAGGAGAAAATATATAAATAATTAAATATGTGATAAAAATTAGTGATATGATTTGACGTTTGAGTCTGACAAAAAGATGATAGGTGAAATAAGTGATTGATGATAATTTTGAGGAAAAAAATATGACTAAAATAAAATTTAAACATACTTCTATTTTATTATATAGATTTTTGTGGGCACATCTATCCAGGCACATGCGCAAATACACACAAATTATGGAAGTGATAAAAAGACCTAATTATCCCCCCCCCCCCCCCCCCCCCCCCCCTTCCCCCCTTTTACCTTTTCAGAGAGCTATACTGAAAATGCCAAGCCTCTTGCATGAGCAAAATAGACTAGTTGCCAAATGTTCATCTTCCCACGCTTGTTTCCAAATAATAATTTGTACTTATTATCTCCCCATATGTCTAAGACATCCTTCTGCCACCCCCACCCACCTTCTCCGCCGCTGCCTCCTTATCTCTCTACCCCTCCCTCTCTCTCTCTGTCGTACACACGCTCAGTCACGCACTTGTGTCCTCTCTTTGACGAGGGTAGGTCTACTAAATTTAAACCTATAGAAAATGTTAGTTTATGCATTTTACTTCAATGTGCGGCCTAAATTGAGTCGTGAAAACTTTAATTTTTTTTCGTTAACAGAATGACAACATGATTTGAATACAAAATCTCTTATTTTGATACCATGTTAAATCACCATATAATCTAAAAGCTTAATAACCTATTCTGTTAGGTGCATTGTTAGCCAATTAACCAGTGCTTTCAATGGTAAGTGGTTACACCCTTATATGGGTAGTTACAGTTTGAGGGTTAAACCATGGTAACTCCTCTTCTTACTAACCACGGCACAAGTGACCAATTAAAGCAGCCATTTCAGAACTATTCCTGAACATTGCGAAAATAACAGATTATTCACAATAATATCGATATTCACTAGTGACTAATCACTCATTGTATACGTAGCCTAACTTGGATCATTCTTAATTTGCCTCACAGTTGTCTATCCAAAGTGCCTCAACTTATTCCAAATGCTAAAAAACTCCAAGATTATGGAATGATAAGACTGATCCTAAGGTTTCTGTTCCTGAGATAACACTGTTAAGCGACCTCAAAATTCGCAAAATCCATTTGACGAAATATCGTCAATACAAAATTATAAGCAGCATTTATGACAACTAAATTATAATCTCATTACCTGCATGGAAATGGGTAACCAGGAGAGGAGGATAAACATCACTAAAACATAGTTATGTTCCCTTAACAAAATAGAAGATGATACTTATCCTGATATACACAACCATCTGTTGTGAAGAAAGATGAGTGCAGGTGTCCAACTGGCTGCTTAGAGCTATTGCTGATTGGGCGCGGGCGAAGGAACCTCTCCCCTCATTATCTTCCAAGGGCCTCCATAGAACTTGGGTTTCATTAGAGGTACTGTTTGCCCGGGGTGATCTTCCCAGTATTTCTCCTGCTCCGTGCAATGAAAGTATAATGCTTACATTAGAGTTAGAGAGTGGGCATTGCAGTCATTAAATAAACAACTAAGTAGTGAACATAAAATTTCTAAAGTCCTGGGAATAACACAAAACACAATCCCATTGTGAAATAGATGGAAAGCAGTGTTCCAAAGTATTTTGTACATAAACCCAACTGTCTCATATACTATATTCAACAAGATCTTCCCTTAAACTCCACAATAAAAATAGTAAGCACAGAATTATATGACTGAGCCACTTATGCCAAAAATGGCCATCACTCCCAAGAGAGAAAACCTTATCATGAAGCTTTCTACTTTAAATCAAGTAAATTAAATGATGACAAAAATTTAGACACTAAAGCCTTCTAGATGAAATTACTTATATGAGGGGGCTGAGAAAGGTCAACAGCGCAATTTGGAGAAGGTTACTTCTCCAGCTTTGGTTTCACAGGGACATCCAAACAAGAAGTAAAAGTGAGTGCCCCGGTCTTCACTTTAAACAAATACGAAAAAGGAAACAATAAAAGAAGTGAGGCCACTTTTGTTCTGAACTGATCCCAAGCCTCATCCAAATATGTGGAGGCAAGTCCTAATTCTATACTCATCTTATCCACACAACTCGGGAAAGTGGGGAGGAAAAGAAAAGAAAAGAAAAGGAATCACCACACTTGAGAAGGTTTTAATCCTGTTTTAGCAGGCAGAAAGCTGAGAAATATCCTAAGAGAACCTTGATGAATGATCATCATACCAGTTCTGGTTCACTTGCACTATATTCAACATACATATAAAGCCAAGTACCCAAGAGTCCAAGACCCAAGCAATTGGGGAGTTTAACTACATATAATGAATTCAATTCACGTCAGTTTTTTCATACTGTGGTACAATAATACCTTGTATAGTTGTTCTGTTATAGCTGATCCAATGATACCAGTATAGAAAGCGAAAATATAGATCGTGACAAGTGGAGTGAATGATTTGGGCCGCCTATATGGGTCAATCATGTCCCAGAGAATTGTTTTCTCCCACTTTGAGTACACATAATCCGCATATTTCCTCCACAAATAGCTCGACATTGTCACAACCCTTCCTCAGTTCCGCTGCAGAGCTGCACAAAGGAAACTTCCTATTATCAATAATAAGAAACGGATTCTGGGGGAGGTACAAGGAGCAGTAAACAGTTCACCGTTGTGCCACCAACACATAGTCCCATAAAAGTTGTAAACATTGAATGACAAAATGTTCAATACAACAAACACACACACACAAACAAGTATACGGTTATCTAAGGTATTTTAACAATTTGGGCATTTCTACAAACATATAACCAGCATAAAGTAGCGATACAAAATTGTCCCAAGAATAATTTCATATCGCAGGCCAGAAAAGAGAAACAGTTCAAAAACGAGGAAAAGGTTTTGGTGTTGGACAAGGAGGGTCATTAGCGAGGGGTGAGTCTGCTAAGAGTGACTTTACCAGATTAGCGTAACTTAAAGTCATTTACCGATAGAGTTTTTTGTTAAAAGTTCAAAACAACATTCTTTATGAGCAATATTTCTCTTTGTTGGGAGAAATTGGAAGTAAAATCGCTTTGGCATTTTCACAAACAGTTACTGTTTGATTTTAGTGAGTTCCCTTCTTCACTTCGCAATTTTTGTTCATACTATCTCTACCTCAGTAATTAGCTCAACCTTCAATTTCTACCTCTAATTACACCAATTTATGTACGCTACGTTTGTGTTTGATCCGTATACGTGCCCAGATTATTGCTTTTGCAAATCCGGCATGAATTGTGGCCTGTGAGATTGCTGCACGGAGGAAGGCAACTAAGAGAGACAGATGAGGCTATGAGAGTGAGACTGTGAGGTGAGAGAGATCATAGCTATTACCTGGAGAGTGGCTGAGTGAGAGATGGCGAGTGGGAAACGATCTTCACCGTGAATGACGAAGAGCGACGATACATCAGAGGGTTGCAGATTTTTGAAAAACCTTCCGGGTTCACGGTTTGTTGTAAACCCGTGTGGATCCCTTTGTTTTTACAAACCGTCTAGGAACTGACCCAACCAAGTGCAGGTTGACCCGCTGGGGCCTATGCTTTGATAGGCAGAAGAATTATAAGATAATTTTCCTAAAGCAATCTTTAAATTTGAGATGCCACTTTTGACTTCTTTTTTTTTTTCAAATTCTGTTTCTTCTGGGTAGAAGCGTAAAACTCCGGAATCCTCTATAGGACTATAAGTCATGTCATGTTAATTCATCAATCCACGTGCAGGGCAGGACTATTATCCCTCTCGGCATGTGTTGTTTTGAGGATTCCTATGCATGGTATTGACGAATCAGTAATAAAAAATATTCTAATTTGCTAGAGGATTTGTTAGTTCAATAGATATTATAATAAGTTTTATAAATAATTATTTATTTTATCACATCTTATATATAAACAAATATACAAATTTTATCCTTAACACATTCATTCCATTATTCTGTTTGTGTAACGTTTTTGCATAATGTTTGGTGTTATATATGGTACGACAATTCATACCCAAAAAATTCTAGATAATATAAAAAATTCACATAAAATATAAAGAATCTGATACTATGAATCAGTGACACTGTACGGTTAAACATTATACAAAGAAAAAATTTATAATATTTTTTTAAAAAAAATCAGTGACATTGTATGCTTAAACATAATATGAAGAAAAAAAATTGAAAAATCGATGACATCGTACATTTAAACATAATATCAAAAAAAAATTCAAAATAATTTTTTTTTAAAAATTAAAAAAAAAAACCGTGATATATACGCTTAAATATAATATAAAGAAAAAAAAATCAAAATCAAAATCAAAATTTTTAAAAAAAAATTAATAAAATTAAAAAACAAAAAAACCGCTGATAGCCAAATCTCATACTAATATTAAAAAGTGATATGTAATTCAATCATTAACTTCCTTAATACCGTTGGTGGCCAAAATCTAAAAAATAATACCACCTCCCATTTGGTATTATATAAGCCCATGTACATGAGTTTTGGTGACCGTAATGAGCGTGTTGGTATTATGATCCAAAAAATAATATCGCACGAAAAAAAAAAAAAAAACAAACAGGTATTACTAAACCCCACGTACTATTTTCACTAATTCCACCTTCTTATACCACCACCATTGTCTTTCAAACAAACATGCCCCCGGTGTATCCACTGTCACAACAAATACAGGATTTTTTTTGAAAATCTATCTGATATGAACAATCCATTCCACATAAATTTTCCAAATGTAACGAAACTATTCTTTGGCGAGGAAAAACTAGGGTGATCAACTAAATTAAAAAGACAGCCTTGACTCATTTCCATATAAAATTTAGTACACCACATCAAAACTTGAACAACGGTGACAAAGACTGCATCAGGATGGCAACCGCGTAGAATTCTTTCAAGAAGGAAACGAACATATACAGAAACAATAATAAATAGCTCGCTATCATGGTTCATTGGAGCACAACAGATAAAAGTATAAACAGTTGCGTGAATCAAGGAAAGTCCTACGTTGAAGAAGACCCTGACTGTTCATCCTTTGGAACAGATGGCGTTTCAAAGTTAAGATCTCCAACATCTTTAGGAGGACCGATACTACAACGAGCAGTGTTATGCAATTCAATAGCATCCTTTATTTTCTGAAACTGCAAAGAGATTTAAGCAGAGCATCAGCAGTCAATCTTTTTATGCTTTTTACTATCAAAGCATAGCAAGTGCTGTCAGTCACAATTCAATCCTCACGCAGACCTATTAGTTTATTGGTAATAGATACAAATCCATGGATGATGGTTTGATTTGATCTCTAATATCTTGCATATCCAAAATGGGACTGATTAAAAAAAGTATTAAAAATTGGGCAATGTAACCCACAACCGTTTGATGTCCCATTCCCTTTCACAGAGTTAAACTAGTCATCAAGAATACGCAAGTTCCAATTACAACCTATTCATTCCCTCCAAGGAGTACATTGACCAATTGCCGAAAAAAGAAGCATTAAAAAGAGGGCTTCATAAAACTGGAGGGCTTCACACGATGTTAAAAATACATGAAAACAAAGGCAAGTACACACATCAAAATGGGGGGAACTAACCAAAAATAGAGTATGTTTAAAAGAATATTTTCGTACCTTGGCGAGTGAACAGGAAAAGGATTCCAGTTGTCCATCGGCTCCGCGATAAAAATGGAAATAAGGAAGAACCTTTACATTCAAATTTTTGCACATCGGCTTATTTTCATCAAAATTGACCTTCAGGAATACGATTTCAGGGTGTTCCTGAGCAGTTTTGCAAAGCTGAAAACCCAAGACAATATATTATCAGACCTATTAATTTTGAAACACAGACTTGCTGCAGAATACTTTTTTTCCAAAGCTGAAAATGGGGACATGGCCATGGCTGGAATATCTAGGATAAGCTCTTTTATATAAATATACTTGGTCAATACTCATTAAAAATGTTATTTTCCAGAAAATGTTAGCTACAGGTCCATGTATCAAAAGCTACATTTCAAGACTGTATTCCTATGACATATTGCTTTAAAAAATAATTGAACGCACAAAATATATATACTACATTGAGGGCATATTTTTGTCAAGGATCAACAAAAATATTGACATTGACAGATGAATGGACAAGTAACTAAAATTACCTTGGGAAATAAAGCTCGGCAAGAAGCACACCATGTTCCATAAAATTCAACAATAACTAGTCTATCTCCAGCTTGACTCAAAGCACCCAAAAATTCTTGTGTAGAATGAATATCTATCATATTTGGTCCTGCATTTTTGTCCCACCATTTTGGCTGCTCAGTTTCAGCAACAGTTGCATGTACCTAAATCCAACAGAGGAACATAAAAGACCTTAGAAAAAGCTGTCATTGCTAGATTTTCATGAATACAGAAACAACGAATATTAATGGATATTCTTTTGATCAGCTAATACTCCAAGACACAGAGGAATTCATTGGATAGAATAAATTCAGCGGCTGAGTCCAAGGAAGAGTGAAGAGTGTGCCAGCAACATCTTACACTCTTCTCTTCCTCCTTTTCCGGTGTTTTAGATTAGTAAGCACTTGGGTGTCAAAGATGGTCCACCATACACACACGAATTAACATGGAAGTTCTACTGGAGGCAACCTCTTACTCTTAGAGCCAGATGACAGTACCAGGCTGGGACCAGACATAGATGAATTGGAGAAGGTATGGTATTCTTGTTTTAGAGCAACATAGAGAGTTCAGATGCCCAGCCATGAACAGCCCATATTGACTGACATATTTCGAAGTTAATCTTGACGTATCTACACTAAGTTGGCCAGAAATTAGGTTTCCTTTGAGTCAATTCTGAGCATTAATTTTGTTCAATTTTTGTTCTTCCTGCAGACAGAACATCTAACTCTTGAGCTTTTGGTCTAAGTTTAGGCTCAAAAATACTTTTGAACTAGCGTTCTACGTTCTTTACTCAAGCTAATTTATCTACTTTAAATCATATGAACCACAGTAAAAGTCAACAATGTGGTCAAGCATGTCTCTCAATTAAATTGTTACAAGAGACCAAGATGAATCAGCTTCGAAGAAGGAATAGTTACATGTAAAATCATAAATGCACCAAACCATAGGAGAACCTAAATGTCAAGAAAATCAAGGAAAACCAACAAAACACAAACAAGATTCAGTCTTCATGAGGGTATTTGCAAAACAATTGATAAAAGAAAGGCCATGTTTGTATGACCTTTAGAATGAAGCAATTCTTTTTATTTTTTTGAATTCTGCCTGAATTACAATAGTTTAAGAAAGCAGCATTCTCTGACAAGCAAAACACCCAAGATTACAATGAGACCTAACCTGTGAAAAGAAACAAAATATCGTTTCGTTGCACAGTTTCAGCCAGCTTAGTAAAGAAAACGATTCAAAAATATTTTGGAAACACAAAAAAAAAATTGAACAGTGATTTGCGAAATATTCTGAAACATCATAACAAAACGCCACAAAAATACTGATTCATTTTGGTTTCTATGGAAAAATAAAAGTTTCATATGTTTCGG